TACTAAATTTGTTTTAATAGTATCGAATTAATTGATACGTTTAATAAAATTAATATTATAAATTTTTAAATACATTTAATACAAATGGAAATTAATCTTCTTTTTTTTCTTTTTTAATAATTACAGTACAAAGAAGTTGGTTTATCAATTACAAAGATGACGAGCAAGGACATGCTACGAATATTGGAAAGTTGTATTCGTTTTGGTAAAGCATGCTTGATAGAGAACGTTGGTATCGAATTCGAATCCGTTTTAGATCCTATACTTATGCGATCATATTTCAAACATGCTGGGCAAACAAGCATTAAAGTTGGTGATAACGTAGTACCATATAATACAGAATTTCGTTTGTTTTTAACGAGTAAATTAGCAAATCCCCATTACACACCGGAAATATCGATAAAGGTGTTGCTCGTTAATTTTTCATTAACATCCAGGTAAAAAATGTTTACAAGTTAATATAACTACGTTAAATCGATATAAAAAGATACAATGTATACAGATATTAATTATTAAATTCGTTTGGATTGTTCAATTAATACGCACACACGTACATTCCACATATACAGTGGTTTACTCGATCAAATGATGAGTTTGGTTACTATACAAGAAAGACCGGATTTAGAACAAATTCGTAATTCTTTGATTGTATCCAATGCGGAAATGAATAAAGATTTGAAAGAACTCGAGGATAGAATTTTATACAGGTTGACAACATCCGAAGGTTCTGCGGTAGATGATCTTGATTTAATATTGACCTTGGATGCTTCCAAAGCTAAAAGCGAAGAAATCAAGGTTACATTATCAACTTTCTTCTTTCAGTTTCTTTTTTTTTTTTTTTTTTTTTACTTTGTTCACACCTTTCAGAGTATAGATCCTAAAAAATTTATCCAATGCACTGAGAAGGTAGGTGGAAAAATTTCGCGTCTATTCATTTTTGATAACTTGACCGAGAAAAAAAAACAAGACACAACAAAATTTTCAACTCTGCCCCACGTGTGTTAGGTTGACCGATAAAATCACGCAATTTGATTTATTTATTTATTTTTCTTTTTCTTTTTTTTCTGAACAAATAAACGACAAACATTGCGCGTATTACTTATTTTGTTCAATCTATAATAAATAATAGTTTTTGATATAAAAATTATTTTTAGAAAAAAATAATAATAATTATATGAAATTCTAATGAGAAACGTATCAAGTAATAAATATACAAATTTATTATCGATATCGTTTATTAAGAAAAATAAAAAAAAATTCGATTATTTGTTATAAATAATACTAATTATTAAAAAAAAAAACAATATCAATTTTTCTCACATAAATCAGATTGCATAAAATATAAATGGCATATATTATTAAATCATTCGTAATATGAATATTGCATATACTATACAATGAAGAAAATTGATTGTGTATTTGGTATAATATAAATTATTGGATATTTTTTATTGTGTCGGAGAGAATATGAATTAAAATAATAATAATAAACAAGAGCACACCAAAAAGAAAAGAAAAGAAAAGAAATAAAAATCTTATGCACAAATGCAGATAAAAGTAAAGGCAGCGGAGGAAACACAATCGGATATCGATTCTACAAGGTCATTGTATATTCCCGTAGCAGACAGAGCACAAATATTATTTTTTTGTCTTTATGATTTACAATACATAGATACGATGTATCAGTATTCCTTGGAATGGTTTATCAATATTTTCAACAACAGTATAAACGCGGTCGAGAAAAGTGGTTTGTAAACGAGAAATATTTATTCACGATTAAATAATCACCCTTTTGTATTTTTTTGTTTTTGGATAATTTTATTTGCAATATTGTATTTTTTTTTTTATTTATAAATTGTAACGTTATTTGTTTGCAGGCAACATTGATAAACGAATCGCTGATATTAAAAAACGTTTCACCTTCGATTTGTTTTGCAACGTTTGCCGTAGCCTATTTGAAAAACACAAATTGCATTTTGCTTTTCTCGTTTGCGCACGTATTCGAATTAATGATAAACTCATAGACGTTGATGAATGGAGACATTTGTTATCTGGAATAATTGTTGCTACTGTTTCGGTAAGGATTTTCATGATCTTCGATTGTTCCTGTTGAAAATAAACATTTTTTTTTCATTGACGAGCTTTATATGATTGTAGAAAAAAAAAAAAGGGTTTATAAATAATATATATTTTAAATAATATTAAAAATAAAATTGTACAAGGGGAAATACAATATTATTAGATTGTTTCGTTATAATTTGATTTGTATCATTTCATTTGAATTTTATTCTTATTATTATATTATTTGAATAAAAAATATGTGTGTCACATATAAAAGGGAGGGGGGTGGTGGGAAGATAATAATGAAGATAATTTTGTTTCTTCTTGATAAAATACATTGTTGCAATAAAATTAAACGTATTATAATCGAGAGTAGTAGAGAAATATGTAAAAGTTTTCTCCCTATTCAACTGTTGTAACATAAGTCCTGAACTTTCTCTCATTTGTAAGGATTTACCAAATCCAGATCCAACTTGGATCTCTTCGCGATGTTGGAAAGAAATTCAAGCTTTAGAAATACTACCGAAGTTTCATGAATTTGTTACACACTTTAAACGTTCCTTGATTCAATTCAAATACATATTTGAGGCACAAGAGGATGCACATTTGTAAGATAATTATAAGTATTTTGAAATACGTGTAATATACGTTAAATGTTTTGTACAAATTGAAATAAAAATAAAAATAAAAATAAAAATAAAATTGGAATTTTTAAAGAATCGCGTTACCGGAACCTTGGCAAAGTAAATTGGATGATTTTGAAAAAATGTTAATACTTAAATGTCTCCGTCCCGATAAAATGATCAATGCAATACAAATGTATTTGAAGAAGTATTTAGGCGAAGAATTTGTCGAACCACAAACAACGGAAATTGGTGCACTTTACAAGGAATCAACTCAAACAACACCTTTGGTATTTGTATTGTCTACTGGAACTGATCCGGCAGCTGAGTTAAACGTATTTGCGGAAAAACAAAAAATGGGTAGAAAATTATTTTTCATATCTCTTGGACAAGGGCAAGGTCCTAGAGCGGAAGCAATGTTAAAAGAATCTGCCGAAATAGGCAATTGGGTATTTTTTCAGGTACAATGAAAAATCCTATGACATTAATTATCTCACAAATATATTGG